GGGTATAAGTACGGAGCCCCGACGCTCCTCGAGTCACTCGATCGGCATTAAGGCCGGTCGAGATACCCCTTTTCCCATCCCTTGCGAATCGTATGCGTGTGCGGTATGAGTATGAGTATGAGTATGAGTGTGTGGGTACCGGTACTAGTGTGCAGTATGCCTTCCTAAATTCCACCCTATAACGGAGCGAATTTAACTTCATCCCTCTTTCTCTCGTTTCAGTCAATCCATTTTGCTCGCGTTTTAGTATACCCGCGTCGCGAATAGTAGTTTACCAGTCAGACTTTGCTCGAGTACCAGAGGGAGAAAAGAGTTGTGGTCCTGTATCTCGGGTGGCCTGTCTCGTCAGTCGCTGGGGTGTTCCTGTTCCATTCCCAGGTGCAGTGCGTAAGCTCCGTGAGACGGATTGGTCGTGGTCAGGCCATTCCTGCGCTGAGGCATCGTCATTCGGGTGCAGGGTCCTGCTCGGCTCGAACTCTGGTGCCCAAGTGAAGTCTGACATTTTGTGCTTACCTTAGTTTCCAATTAGAGTCAATAGTTAGTCCATAGTTAGAGTCAATAGTTAGAGTCTTGTTCGCAATCGTATAAAATCCTTCTCCAATATTCGTTCCGTATAATAGAGTGGCAATTTAATATGGGAGGGGGCAGTGGGGATTGTCCACTGTCCGGGTCTCGAACGTAGTCACCTCCACGCGGTGAGACCTGGGTTGGTAGCGTTTGCAAAGTCTATTCTTTGCAAACGTTACCAAGCAAAGAACTACAATTTAGTTTAAGAATTTTTTGTCTCAAACTGTATGTCGATTGAATTCTGATTAATAAATGGATAATACATGAAACATATGTTGGCATTTTTATTTCACGATCCTTCACCAAATTTCCAATTCTAGGGGTGGCTACTTGAAATCAGTATTTGAGCCGAGTTCCTGAAACATGGGTTGGATTTTGGGAACTCCAAACTCTAGAAGAACTCTAATCATATTTCGAATAAATGTTAAATATTATCTCAATCTTTCAATAATTTAATGCATATACTAATACATATTAAGACGAATTAAGAAAAACAGCTGAATCAATTTCCAGTTAAAATCGAACGAACAGGAGACGAGGCTAAACGTTTATAAACAGAACTCCATCTCTCTTGTTCTCTAATATACTTTCGGTAAAGTTTAAGTTTAATCGAGCACTATTCATGAAAAGTGAACGCTCGAATCAGCGTTAATTTTTCATATCGGTCTGGCAGTCGAACATGAGTCACAAGAGTGCATAAGGTGAAAGGTCAACTCGTATATCTCAACTGTAGAACTACTATTAAACTATAAATTAGAAGATTGATCAGGTTTAATAAGGGTTCAATTCCTCGTTCGATATCTGTCCATCTCCCATGACCTATTCAGGTATAACCACGGGGGCGATTTCCGGGAGTCGCGCTTCTTGCATAAGCAACAATTGTCAACCGTTTTATCGAATTACGTCTAATTGAAAAGAACAGGGATTTTAAGATATTATATGACTACCTTCGTACGCACATTTTATTATTATCGAACAAAAAAGTACTCGTACATCTATACATCAATGATTCATATTTGTATGAAATAAATCCGAGTAACGGACAGATGACCGAACAAGGATAGATTAACGACTGCAAATTGGACATGTAAAAATTTCCACTTTTCTACTCTTTCTGTCTTCTCGTTAGAATTTCAATTTACGGTCGACGTAGTTCAAGACTTCTTGAACTTGCGTAATTCGATAATGAAAAGTAGGTAGAACGCGAATGATATGAAAATGCTTTCAACACAATTAGGCAGCGATCTATATTTGCAGAAACTATATCATTCATACAGTCTACTAGATCGTCTTCATAAAGTATTTATTGAGTTCTAACAAGGTTTTACCAGAAATTGTATTAGTACTAATAAGAACGTAGTGATGCTGCACACAGCCTGAAAAAAACATGTAAATAGAAAGAAACCTCTTTGATCAAAGTCTTCCACGAATTTACCTTAGTCAGGACAGTCGCATCTAACACAAGCCCTTTCGCTGTGAACGTGATCTCCTTTTGTAACACTTGCATCGAAAACAATTTCAACTACAATCGATGAACATTAATGAATCACAAATCAAGGTGCTAACGAATTCCTTTCATTATTTTATTACCTCATCCGTGATCTCTTTATCATACGTGTGTATAATAATTCGATGGATATTCGAGCCAATTCGTTTACCTTGAGTCTTGGCCTTCTCGGTTGCCCAAATAATTAAAATTACTTCTAAGACATGATGAAATACGAAGAACAAGTTGATGGAAAACAATTCTGTGATTCTGCCTCCTTGGTTCATCATTACAAGATATACGTAAAGATTAAGCGAGATGTCGATCAATAACAAGATCAATATCGTCAGAATAGACGCACCAAACGCTGAGTCCATCGTTCTAACGATTTCGCTGATCTCCAGGTGCTGCTTCTTAAGCGTCCTCAGCTCGGCCAGTAATATGGGATTCTTTTGCGAGTGATAAACTCTCCTGAGCAAGTGAGGCTCGTCGTTAAGTAAAATTTCCCTCAGCTTCACGAGGACGTCGTTTATCTCCTTGAGGCAGGCTTCCAACACGTATACGTTATTCGTATACAGCGTATTTATGACGAGAATCACGAAGAAAGGAATCCAAACGGCATAAAGCAGTGGTATTGTGTAACTTGAGAGACCATACAGAGTGAAGCTTAAGGACAGGGAGAACATTAGCGCGTCTTTCGTGTACATCTTCTTAGCCAAGCTGGAGAACATCTTCGGAGGAAGCATTCGAGAAATCTGAGATATTCTTTCGATTATACGTAACACTGATCGTTTCAAAGCGTAAGCAGAGGTGATTACCACAAGACCGAAAATGATGTTAAAAGTCAAGTGCATTCTGTGTAAAATGAATGTATAAATCTCGCGGTAATGAAAATTGACTTTGTATACGCAAAAAGCTAAATACGTCACGTAACTGACGAATATAATTGTAGAGTAAACGAAGTACGGTTTGGAGTACACAAATTTCGATGATACGATTTTGTACGGAATAAATCCCATTAGACGACTGATGAAAACGTATGGGCACATCAACTGCACGTAATTCGTGATCGAGTTCAATGAACATTTGACTCGATCCTTCGCCAACGATGGACGATACATTTTTCTAATACCCAAAATGAAAAGCTTGAGTTTGAATTGGATTATGTACCGATGTTCGTCAAGTGACGCAAGTTTCCTAACTGTTGGAAAGTTAAGAATGCTAATAGAATCGAACTCGTTCGTGAAGCGTCAACGGAATTTAATCATCTTTATGAGAAACATCGATTCGCCGATGAAAAACGTTTTACGATATTACCAGGGGACGTGGCACTATCTCGTGTAGAACAAATCGATTGAACTAATTCAAGGCAAAGTGTTTTATCAATTCTACTTGGTGTTATCTAAAAACTGTATCAAAGCGTCGTTGCATATTCAACAGTTTTAAATTGTCTTGTCTATCATTGGAACGTTATTGCGCGATTTTCTCTGATTCTTATAGAACGTAAATGATGATAAAACGATATATCAGCGAGGAATTGGGTTAAAATAACAATTTTATCGTTAGTGGAAAATATTCTAATAAAACAAATTTCGATTCGAGTTATGCATATCGCTATCGTTATTTTCTCAATTGAGAGCCTATCATTTGACGTCATTTCTGTATACATATATACATCACTTTATCTACTTCCGATGTTTAGTGTTGTAGCAATAGATATAGCATTTTTTAAGACCGGATATCGTACGTGGTTCGTCATTGAGAACTTTTTTCTACGCAAGAGAATTGCGTATGTAAATGGCATTTACGAAATATCTGCACGAAACGATTCCACTTTATATTTTTCGTAATAAGTAAGCAGTTCGATGCAGGAAATAATTAAATTTCTAAACCGGAAGTTTGGCTCCAGAAACGATATGCAAAATTCTGCTGTTCAAAATCATTCTGACTCTCCACCTAAAGACTATGATTAGAGTATCGCACGGGCCGCGTGATCGTGATCTCGAAGTTTCGTCTAATCGAAATAAAAAGCAAACATCGATCTTTCACCGATTTTATACAATATCCTTCGAGCTACAATCATTCACGAGCACCTCATCGTCAGTACATTACCAATTGCAGGCCCACGGTCTATCAGAGCGATCCACACTTTGTCCGCAGTCAATTACATGCTCGATATCTTCAACGTGCCACTCGATTCCGAATTTATAACGAAATCGAAGCGAACACATAAACCGAGGAGACTCTATCAATGAAATGAAAATCTAAGAATACATTAAACAATTTCAATGTATAAAAAACTCGCGTAAGTAAATGTTCCAACAAATAGTTCAGCAAACGCGTATTTGATAATCGGAATTAGTAGCAAAAGTATCGTAATAATAGCTAACGTAGTAATTGGAATACTTACGATAAAAGATAAATACGTCATGAGGAAACGTCTACACCGGCAGTAGTTATAAGAATAGCAGAATTTCAAGGGTAAAATCGAACGCTGGTATATTAGAATATGATGTGATGCACAGAACATGAACGAATAGAACTCACGATGCGAGAAACGCGAAAGGTGGCGCGAAACGCTAAGCAAGGAGAATGCGCGTGGATGCATGATGGCCGCCACGGACTGCGGCTGGCGTTGCTTAGCAACCGCGTCCGGCGAACGGCTGGGAACCGTTAGCGATCTCTGCGAGACGATTGCTGCTGAAAAAATTACGTCCCTCTCGGTTGTACAATTCTTTGCTATAGTTCTAGCGTAATTTTCAATTTCTCTACATTTTTTATCTGTAAGATCGTGGCTGGGTCGGCTGTCGCGTCTCTTGAATTTTAATGCTCTAAGAGCAACAGAGGAAGACTGATAGTCGCCTCTTTCTATTAAATTAGACGAAGCTCCGAGCTCATGAACGCGCAGTTCGAGCGATACCTCAGTCTTTAGATGATTGAGGAACAGTGAGAACCAAACTCCTCAAATCTTGTAAATGACACTTCAATTTCACTATTCTTCAACACACTTGTCAACATTCCTCAGATCGTACTGTGTTGAATTAGGAGAGCTGTACATAACCAAAGAACCTGCTAATCGCACGTGGTACACACAGTACAATGTAATCGAATGAGTATCACCGTAATTTCAACGCTATATAAAAAAAAATTCGATCCTGTACTTTCCTCACCTTTCATTTCCATCAACGTGAAAAGGGGACTGTTTAAAGATGGTAGAAGTTAGCGTAGGAGACGTAGTGATGCCCGGTGATATCGTGAAAGATATTACAACTATTAATAAAAAGGAAACAATCATCCTGGGACCGGGACTTCGTCGCGAGGCAGACACAGTGTTCGCGTACAAAGCCGGTGTTTTGAAGAAAACGCCACCGGCCGTGTACTACGTCGACAGTTATCAAAAACGGTAATTGAAAAGATTTAAAAATTATTATTCGACGGTCATTCGTATTACATTTATTCCAGGTATGTACCGAACCGGGGAGAGAATGTAGTTGGCATAGTGACTCAAAAGGGTGGCGATATTTTCAAGGTGGACATAGGAGCCAGTGAACAGGCATCACTATCATACTTGGCATTCGAGGGTGCCACGAAGAAGAATCGCCCAGACATTCAAGTCGGGGACATCGTATTTGCCAAGCTTTTAATAGCCAGCAAAGACATGGAACCGGAATTAGTATGCGTGGATTCCCATGGGAAGGAGAAGAAGTTAGGTGCTCTAAGCTCGGACGGCATGCTTTTCACTTGTTCTCTGAGCCTCATCCGGAAGATATTGAACCGCAGTTCCCCGCTCTTCCAAACACTTGCGCACAGTCAAGCGTTTGAAGTCGCGGCTGGTATGAACGGTCGAGTTTGGGTGAAAGCAAGGACTATCCCAGAAACGATAGCAGTGGCGAATGCTATTTTAGCAGCGGAATACGCCGCTCCTAGTGATATAAAGAAGCTATGCTCGGACATCGAGAAGACTTTACTTCTAAGTCAACCTGGTAACACAGATTGAATAGTAATACGAACAATTGTTGTGAATGATTATTTATTGTACCAATATTTTTAATGAAAGTTTTATAAATAAATCTGTATGATTTCTTATATGAAATATGGTGATTATTATGACAACCATTCTGACAACCATTGTGATAGAAATGTAGTTATATANATGTGTAATGTAGTACATACATCGTTAGGTATGCTGGTCATTTATATAGCTATGTTGATACAATGAAAAATAATGTTACAATTCATTTATACTCTACCAAAGTTCATAGTACCTACAGTTCTCTGATTGCAATTTAGTAGCACATATTTTTCTTAATGAGTAAATCAGGTCTTGATGGAATACTAAGATGAGTAAATAAAAATGATTACAAAATAACTAAAAATTATAGTGGTGTGATCAGGTCAGTTTATCACCGCCTCAGTTTTCGCCACTATGACTTTTATCGTTATTTCGTGAAACAAATATTACAAAGCATAGTTCGTCTAATACTTCGTAATTAAAAGAAAGAGTTAGTGCCATGATATATCCCTTAATGATTGGAATTATAGTATTTAGGTGGAAAAGTGATTCCCGATATGTAACTAATATTTGTATTTTTAATTGTAGTATGAAAGCTAAATACTAACTAATGATAGTATTGGATATTCAAGCACAACCTTGACTTTCTTTATTATTTCTTTTCCCACAAAAATACTTAAACAATTTTCGAACCAAACATGTTACATTTTCATATTTCTCTCTTTTAAATACAGGATTTGTACGTGATGGTATGTGCATCGTTCGTAGTTTAGAAAATGAACCTTGAACATGTCGATATTAGGAAAACTTGGTTTCTACATGTAATCGCAGTTTAAATTCGACACGACCAATTCTATATACGCACTCGAATCATTCGATTTCCATTTAACTCCTGACCTACCATATTCGGAATGAATTAACTGTAATAAATCAAGCGTAGAATATTTAACAATTTATACAAACTAACTAGAAAACTAAATTCCAACTGCTACGCATATTTTTACGCTTTTCTCTTTCTTTTCTTATAAAACAAATAACCGTGTAAATAAATCGCTAAAAAAGAATTTGGCTAACGCAATCCGAAGGGCTTATCGCAGATCAACACTTAATTAATATCGAGATTAATGCTTATTCACTATGAAATTATTTCTGGAGACAGTGTTATAAACCTATCTCATCGTCGCTTAATTTAAACTCGTTAATGTTAAACTAATATCTTTAATCTATTAGACAATGACAGGACAGATCTGTAGTTTTCACAAGAAGTAAACGCTTTAATAAACGCTTGATCCAAGTTTCTCTTTCCCAAAAGAAATCTGATCGAAGCCTTTTGTAAAAACCACATTACATCATTTTCCCTTCTGGTATATCATAGGCAAGCAGTATGTATGTTAGGGACGATTTTTGGTGCTGACAGCAACCGTTACACTAATCTATGGTACGCATTGTGCTTTTTACTTAATATATATTTCACATACGACCATTCCACGTGAATTAATTAATACCGATGCAATACATTTAACTACGAAGATGTAACGATAAGTGCTGTGCTCGATAATTTCAGTATTTCGAGAGATGTATGATTATCAATGCGAAAGTGGAATGAATGGAAGTGCGAGGACCAAAACAATTTCAAATCAATATAATAAAGTTAATCTGCCATTATCTTTGTAGATTTAAATTTACAATACTGTGATCTACCTCATAAAAATATATCTACTTCTTCACTGTTATAGTATCTGATCATTTTTCTTTTACGTATAGGAAGATGAAAACATTATCTGGCTTAATTAAATATCGAATTTTTAACATTAGTATATGTATTGTGATTCGTTCGAAATATATAACGGAACAACGAAATGGATAGTTATTTAGAACGTGATTAAGAAAATAGTTTTGAGAATGAGAAACGAACATGATTATGTCTTACTGTCTATTCTAATGATATTAATTTCCTGATGGTATGTCTAGTAAAAGTTTTCGTGAACATTCCTATATTATATTGCACGGGTAGATATGCAGATCTTCTATATAATTGTGCAATGGCAGAATTCTAAATCCAGAGGACTAAGCTTTATCGTTAAGTTCCCCGTTAGCGGCTGATAGTTATAAGAATAATTTCTCATTTTATATACCGAGTAACATTTATACTTCATCTTTTTATCATTTGCCGTGTCGTTAATGCCACTAAATGCAAAACTATGCCTTCGCCAGATAGCTTTCGAGACAATTAAACATCTACATTACGATACATCTATTGTTATATATGTCAGCAGAAACGAGTTGATTATAGTTTTATTTCAACGTGCATGACGCACGGAAGGGTCGTGTTTTTTATGTTATTGCTGTAATATTTTTATTACTTTTCTTTCTCTTTAATTAGAAGAATTGTATTTCATAGAAAAAGGAAGCAGTTTCGAATATTGTTAATATAGTCAGGGCTGCAGAAGGCCGATTAAATCTTCAATTTAATTGAACACCAATTAACAATTGACTTGAAATCAGGGGTCGAAAACAGTTCCAGTTCTTTGTGACCATTTCGATCAGAACCGATGTATAACAGTTTGAAACAATTATTCACAAAACCTTTTCAATCCCTATTTTCAAATTTTAATTCTGACTAATCAGGAATTAAAATTCAATTGTTAATCGTTAATTAAAAGACCTGCGACCCTGAATAAATTCGTCGCGAGTGAAGATTCAAGATTTGTAAAGGTGAATGAAGAAACACGACTCTTCAGAAAGGAAAGAGGAACATGATATTCTACATGAGACACTCGTAATGAGCAAACTTACTAGATCACTCTCGAAGCTCGATATCATAGCACGAAATCATTACCTATACGAATACGTAGATAAATATTCATCATTGTATTTCAGCATTATTATTAGTATTGTTATGTATATAAAAAATTGTCTTTGCTTATAGCTAAAATATTATGATGCATCGGCTATATAAATATATATCTTAGTATATATATTTATATCGTTATCGTTATTATCGTAATATTTTTTTCATTAGCGCGTTTATATATTATATACCATTCACAACACAGAGTGCATAGTACGAAGCCGAAATGAGTCTGTTCGCTCCTAATATGATTATACATTGCTGGGAGGAACAGACCAGAAAGCTTCAATGTAACAACGCACAACCAATATTTATACAACCTGCGTGCACCAAATTGCTTCTTGCCAGTTTCTTACATTGACAAAAGCAACGTTTAACTTATACACTGGTTTTAAGTAGAATCGTTTAAGGTATTATGTTTCTCACGTTACAATCTTTACTAGTTAACACATGAAAGACTAAAGACAGACGAGAATTAATTTCCACAACCGTTTCGATAATCATGACCCGACGTGCTCTAATTCGAAATCAATTAAACTAAAGCGACAGCAATGTAAATGAGCGTATCTCTTCGTTCATCCTTGAGAAGTAAAAGTAAAAGAATATATTAATTCTTCCTCGTTTTCCCGTTTACTAAAACAAAAAGCCTCGACGCTAAGCACTTACTATTACAATATTTATAATAATGTATTTTACATAATAACAAATCCTCTGATATGGTACTACGTGTAAATTGTGGAAAATAACTATATGTATCTGTTTGTACAGGAAGAACTTTTATCAAAATCATCAACCTCATTGATTGACTAATCGTAAATCGAATTTTTTGTCGTTTCGACCGAGACACGATGCCGTATACTCTCGATCATTAAAAAATGAACATTCGGAAAAGATCTGTTTCAACGATTCGATTATCAAATTCTCTATTAAAGATGATATCCAAAATATTTCAACTTATTCTACTTTCGCCCTATATATTTACCGCTAATCCGAATGGAATGTCAACCGAACTTCTGAGTGATTTCGCGAATATCGTGAAGTGAATTATTTTATATATTCGTTACCCTCCTAAAACGTGTCTGTGTATCGAAACTTATTTTGTTCATGGAATTGTGCTATTTCGTGAGGATTCAGTTTCGATGAGATTTGATTTTACAGCTTCCCATAATTCGATAGCAGTGGATATTGCATTTGTTATTAAGGTGGTGCAAAAGCATGTTAAAGCATTAGATCGACCACGTGCAACGTTGCGAAAGTTACGAATAATAATATTAACAGAGTAGAATAATATCTTAACGATTAGAGTACCATAGTTTGTACACTGTACACGCTCTCTGAGTCGCAGGATTTTTCCAGAAAGAGCATAGTAGTGCATCGAGATTCGTGTGACCCTTCGTTTCTTTGGAAGAAAACATTAGGAAAACATAAATTCTACAAAAAAAAAAACGAGTGCATACTCTTGTAACAATAAATAAATACAAACAAAAACGAGAGAGAAAACAACAACTGTCCGCAGAGACACAAGAAAGGAACTCTTTTTACCAACGACTTCTGCACACCTTAAAACGGCAGTAAGCAAGCCTTTGTCGTACCCGCGCGTCTGACGAGAATGTCTGTCTAATCGGATGATGTGTATCATTGGCGAAAGTCTTACTTTCTGCATGATATTGTCCGTCAAAATCTCGTTCGCGTTTTCTCGATAATGGTTAAAAATAACTGTGTAAAAAACCTGTTGCGCTCATGCAGAACGTAAGAGGAAGGTTCACCTCTTAATATTAACGTCATGTGTGACTTCAGTTTCTTTCTCAAAATTTTGTGTCTTTTTATCTTTGTTCTTAAAGTTACAGTCTTACTAAGGATATCTTTGTGTTGCTTTTTTTTTGTTGGCTTACAGGAGTTCTTTAAGCTCGATTACTGAGCGATAACATCGAAGTTTCTCATGTCAGAACATCCCGGTAAACGTTTTCAAAAAATTGCTACTCCATTTCACAAAACCTAGCAGAGTCTTACATATTCTTTGAACACTTTACATTGTTTCGCGAGTGAAAAATTTACTTCGTTAGAACGCTCGAAACTGTACCTAACGTAATTCAGTTGTCCCAGCCGTTCCGAGCTACGAACATAAATCCCCCGCCGCCCCGTGCGACGATCGTTATCGCGTTTCATCGCTTACCTTGTTTAATTCCTCGCTAACTTGACGGATTTGAGGCCTCTTTTATAATTCCGGTTTACTTACGTTTAAGGTGACACATAAAAATTGTGCTCAAGCCACTTGTTAATAAAAATTAGCCACAGAAAATCTATGTGTATAATCGCTAAAGTCGCATAGGTTGCACGACGCTGTTATTGTTCAAGCGCGTGGTAGTCTGGTTGTTGAAATTCTCGTCTTGCGGTATGTGCTCTGTTCTCTCGTCGAAAAATCCTGGATTCAGAATGATATTGGGTACAAGTTCAATCACCTCCTGCTCCTCCAGCTGCGCTGCAATTCGGGAACGGAGTTTAATTTTCATTGGCCTGGGCCACGAGTCATATTAGCTTCTACCCTCTCCCTTTACCAGTGTTTGCTGGGCCACGAACATTTTTTTTTTCACGACTCGAAATTCAAATTTATCGTACTCGAACGCAACGCGGGAGTACAGAATATATCTGGAATAAATTACGGACTCTTACCCAGCAAATAATATATACGCTGCGTCTTTGACCTAACGTTTTTACAGTCAAAGACTTACTAACACGCGCACGTAATGTTATCTAGGCCATAATGCTCTATGTTGCTATCACAGTACTTTCTATTCATGACACTAATCATTCTGCATAACATAATTTTATACAAACCACCGGGGATCACCGATATCGAACGTAATAGTGTGAAAGTGGGGTAAACAAGTTGATCGTTTGGAAAGAATAAGATTGGTGGTCGATAAAATCCATTCATAAAGTTATAGGCATCATTCGTATAAGGAATCGTAAAAGGTGCTACTGACAGGCAAACTGTACAGATATATATGTATATATATAGATATACATATATATGTATATATAAAAATATGTTACAGATTAATTTCAGTGCCTTATGTTGTTAGGTGTTCGGTGCAATAGTTATAAAAGTGTCATTGTTAAATTGTTATCGGTAAGAAAACCGTTGGAATGCTATTAAATTTGCAAGGTCGAACGCTATAGAATTCGTTGAATGCTAATGAATTTGCAGAGCGCTTGCAGTAGGGAAATATTAGTGAAAGATAATTGGCACTGTATTAGAATAGCGCTAAATTGATTGAGAGCAGAATAGCTGATGTAAAGAAAGCTAGAGATCAGGGCCATAGATAAGTTAAGTGGTTAGTGATGCTATCGTTCCTGCTGCAGATATTCTCGTCTAGATAATCGTGTTATAGTCGTCTTCTTCTTTTTCTTCTCGGAAAGAAAAATATGATGTGATCTAGCATACGCTACGTTAGTTCATTTGCAATGGAAGGAAGTAAATTACATCAGCAGAAATAAGTAGCATGAAAGAGACAGAGTAGAAGCGAAAGCTTTTAGATAAAGTTATCAGGAAATGCTTACAGGGTACTTTGCACTCACGATAGAGGAGGTAACAAGTACCTATACCAAGAATCAAAAGTGTACCCATAACTATCCCTACTGCTGCCACCCAGACGCGAGTGTCAAAATTTTCTACACCTGCTAAGAGATGTCTTGCAAGTTCTGAAATAAGTGTCAACCATAAGAATTATTGTCAAACGCAAACCTATCGTTGAAAAATCGTATTCGCCTCGTTCTACATGCAAGGTTTAAGCTCGAAACATATGTACCTAATTCCTCGATACTGTGATGGGTATGTCCCTCGACCTCGACGATCTCTCCTCTTCCCAGCTGATTCGTTGCCCACACTCGGAACAAGTATGTAGTGTTTGGCACCAAGTGATACACATCGATTTGCCTCTGGACAAATTAAAAGTCCGAATCAATACGGTACCGATAGGAATTCGGGCGGAAAGAGAAGAAACTTATTTACAGAATTTGGAGGAATGTGCGTTGGAACAATAGGCTTCCAGTCTTCTGGTTCTTCACCTTCATGTGGTTTAAGACGATATTCGGCAGTGAAATCTATGATAGGATAACCACCTGTACCAGCTACTTCCCAAAGAATGTTTGCCAATATCGTTGACGGTTTTACCCACACATTGTGTAAAGCCGGAGGAGGAGCTGGGCACAGAATAAAGATCCAACGTCAATACCCTGTTAGCGAAATGTATGCAGATTGGCAACAAGTGCCGATACAGATATGTTTTCAAATCCATATACATCTGTATCCGCATTTAGCTCCAATTTCGTAAGCCTCGTAGCCTTAGCTAACAGGGCGATGATTGAAAAATAACATCTGCATCCCTGATTCTTGCTTACTTCTAACTTGTACATTGATTCTAGTTTTGACAGCATCGTGATCATCATCTAAGGTGCACGAATAATTTCCAGCATCATCTGCACTGACATTAATGAGTTCCAAAGCTCCATTAGGCTCGACTTTTAGTCTCTCAACCTGTCCATCCTCGCGTCCCTCCCTTATCCACATCATTCCAATAGGTTCTCCTGAGTGTGGCAGAGCATCCTCTTGTGCACATGCTAGAGTCAAGTTTTCTCCTAGGTCTACAGCCACAGATCTTATTGGCACCGAAGTAGAAACTTCGTGCCATGCTAAACAAAAATAATCAACGACTTTCAAACAAACTATAATGTTGGATCGTCTATTTGATTACTAATTACAAAACGATCGTGTTTACTACGTTCTACAGAATAAAATTCGTTAAAAAAAATTGCTCGATAAGAAATAATATGCTAATTATAGCGTATCGTTTCGCGATAAGTCGATGGAATCGCTGGAAGACGTGGGAACGGGGAATAGAACGCACGAGCATAAAACGCGGAGAGATCAGGCGGTCGGGAAATCGAGATACTCGTTTAAAATTTGCATAACTCGACCCTGAATCGTAACGATCGTGCACTCGCAGCCCGATTTACACGACGTGCACGTACATATACAAGCGCGCGAAGAACGAGACCCGAGAGAGCGTTATAGTGTTTCACATTGATCCGCAGGTGCACTTAACGCCTGAACGAATCCTCGCCGTTCTTACCTGCCAGTGAGAGTATCAGCGTGATAATTCTACGAACAACCATCCTCCCATATTAGACGGCCTCGCACGGATTGATGCATACAGGGACAACGTGTTAAGGATCTTTTCTCAGCCGCATCTCATCGGCCGATCGATCTCGTTTTCACACGTTTTTTAAACAACACGCTCACTACGCGGGAGCTGTCAAACTCATCACGCTTCGCGGAACACCGCCCGTCCGGCGCTCTTCGGATTTTATTGAGTTGCCGCTGGTGTGCTCTCGTGGTATCTCAACGAACCTTTATCATCAAACGGCAGGGCTGCAACTGCATCAAAACTGAAAGTAGCAGCCGGCCGACGAGGACGATCTAACGAGGGTGAAAAACGACTGATCGGCTTGTTTATCAAATTTGATAAACGTACGATGAAACCGAGGATACGATCGCGTTTAATCGACGACGATTTCATATGGTAAACGTTATTGCATTCGAAACTGCGTCGTTTCGATTGGAACGGTCTAGAAATGACTAGTTACCTCGTTAAATTGGATCACTGCATCGATACTCGCGTACATATATCAGAACTGGTTGAATCTGCTTTACTGATTGAGGAAGAGCCGCTCCATATTTTTTCCTCTATCCTCGTTCGGGATTAACCAGACAAAAACGATAGACACCTCGCAATGGGATAATCGCGCGGTAGTTGCCTATGATTACTCGGTGTTTGCGTGCGTGCGTGTGTGCGTGCTTACTACTACTACTCCTACTTTATATGAACTCCTTCTAAGTATATGCGTATATGTGCAAGTGAACCGTGACGACCAGAGGACTGGTTGAAATCTGTCGTTGAATCGGTATGTATACGTGCATGCCGCAGGCGACACGTTTAACCATCAAGTCAGTTTCCAGAGAATTCAACTGTCAGACCTGTCGCTATAATCGCTTCTATAAAATTGTCGAATATTCACGCCTGAAATCTGTGTGCTACCGACATATGTATTTATAATATAAGTAGATGGACATTTGTTATCCGAAGAGTAAACGTTTCAGTCATGTAGGTTTATCGTAGATATAAAACATCTTGTGTTAAGTTATTATCCTTGTATCGTTTCAGTTTGTATAAATATATTTTCTCTTCATTTTATTCGTTGACAAGATCATTTCATTTAACTAACGTTGTGTACGTCTGATTTTATCCTACTGCTTATTCATTCAACACGTCCCCGGAAGGATGTATTTGAGACTTAGAGAATAAAAGTACCTTTTGAAACGTTTGAAAAATATCCTGTCTTTACATAATCGACACTTTCCTAGTTTAAATGGATGGAATATATATATGTATAATAAAAAGGCGATATCTTCCGACGTTCTCTATCCTGTTCTATGTGACGTAACCAGTGACGTCAATAATTTGAAAGATCGATTCAATTGAAATTCGCGTTTTTCCCGATCTTTACCCTTATTGAGTACTACATTCAATTGTCCTAATCTAATCGATCGAGTCAGTGACGCAGAAGCTACATGCTCTGCTCGTACAAACTCCTCTCTGGCTAGACAGATATTCAATTCTATAATTTTAACACTTCATTCCATATGTATATACTCGTCTTTGAATCGAGCGTTGCTACATGTTGCATGTATATGCAACATCGGGACGTGGTACGTCGGTCTTAATTATCTCGGATTGTAATTAGCAACGTGGACAGATGATCTGCGGCGCGATATTCATTTATGCGGGAGGATGAAATTAATTACGTCGACGCAGAAATTCCAAGAGGTACCAGAAGATCGTTCGCGCGGATCGTTATTGCGATATCTATAATGTTCGCTTCCTAATCGTTGGGTAAACTTAGATATGGTAATACTCCAACAACATCTGCCAGTTTCTCAATCTTGATCGAGATTTACAAATCAGATCCTCTCACAGGTTATATGCATTAATTCAATCGGGTCTTATTGATAACAGTTGTTCGATTCAATAAAAATGATCGGACAGATAAGAATATTCAGTAAATACGTATTGATATTATGCATTTCGCTGATAATAATAAACCGTGAAGGGAGCAGAGTAGTCGCGTGATAACGGGGCTAATTTAATCCTTTTATACAGTTTCTATTTAGAAGTCAATACAGTGGGAGGGTGCAACGAACTCCTACAACTATTTCAATCGCGTCACCTAAAAATCTACGATTTTAAATAGATCCAACTTCGCATTAAAATAATATTAATTTCATTTGATAGTCTGTATCTTTTTATCTCTTCGGGTCTCTATTCTCCTTCCTTGTTATATTCAAATTGAACCGCTTCGATCGACCTGGTATCGAATAACATTTTGAAGGGCATTTCGTCTCTGTGCGTTAATGTCGAATGACTAGACAGGGTTCACCACGCGAATGACATTTTAGTAAGTGCAGTCCAGCATTTTCCTGCTGCCAGAATGCAATTTGCACAAGAGTTCAAGCCGCTGCGTTAATTAAGCTCTCCATGGCTTCACCTTTTGTACGCATTCCTCGAATCTCGCGCTGAACTATAATTTCGAATTATCGAGATACTTCCTATTGTTTACCTTATTTTTGTATGATATCTGCTTTTAGTTTGAGAATAAAATTGGTCGATGAAATCGAGTCATAAAGTTGTAGATTTCATATAAGGAATTGTATATATTCACATATTTTAGTATAGTTTGAAATGTTCAGTAGCCCTCATTTTTTACCAAGTTTAATCGCCGATGAAAGTTTTCATGAAAAATCGCACAATGCGTGACACTCCCGGAAACAGAGTCTAAATAAAGAGAAAATATCGATGAGACATCGGGCAAGTGTATTCGTCGTGCAATTACTCGTGAATCGAAAGGTTCGTTAAAAAAAAAGAAATAGCAAACAAAAAAGCTTTCATCGACCTAGTTTCGCTTTCGTCCCGGGTTACTTTCGTTACGCCCTACGCCGCAAACTCGCAGGATTTCCGCGTAACTTCCCAATTATATTCATCCGCTGAATGAAATTTCGTCCTTGGTGCGCGATATATTTCTTTTTTCCATCCAGAATTTCATCAGAGACAAATGTGTACCGTTTTCATTTAAAAATAGAACTCTTTCTCGCTTCGCCCTTCAAGCTGAAGATGTAAGCTATCAGATATTTGACTAAAAGCAAACAATTTTGTTCCTGGCACACGATATTTTTATCGAGAATGATTCCGGAGGTAAAAGAGCAAATTTTGATTTATAACAACAGAATTGAACGACTCTTAGATAAATTCTTTCTATACGAGCTATCAGGTATTTGACTAAGCAAATAATTGCGTCCTTGGTGCGTAATATTTTTATCGGGGCTGATCTTTCGAAGATGAGAGTACAAGTTTCAGTTTAAGACCAGAGTTCAGCGAGTCTTAAATAAATTCTTCCTGGCACGACCCTTAGGCTAAAGACGCGAGCTATCGGATATTCGACTCGGCGAATAATTGAACTGTTAATAATGGAGTAGAACTGTAGCGAAAGTTTTGAGCCCCGGCGTATAGAGAAGTTTACAGGATCGGATGTGAGGCTGGTGGAAAACGGGCTCGTCGTACCTCTACGAGCACCCGGTCCACCCGCTGGGAGAGAGGGGTGGAAGCACTTCGACCCGGACTCTCGAAATGTCAAAGGTTGCCGCGCAAGGCGCATCGAAGTATCCCCGTTTTCCAGAAGCCGCCAGACGAACGCGATCCCATTGTTTCTGCTCCATCGTCGGGCAATAATTATCATCATTTTCATTCTGCGCCATTTCATGACTGAGTCCCTACCGCCACAGAATAGGCGTTGTCTTTGAAAATTAAAGGTGTATCCACGTATCCACACACCTGCCTCCTCAGAGTACATAATTTATGTTTTTTAAGAGATTCAATTATATTTTGTAACGTAACAAATTAATTAGGAAGTAATCTGAGCAACGGGTTATAATTAGACCACTGGAGACTTATAGGGTATCAATTAAACAAATGAAATCTAACGAGAATTCCCTTTGAACACAAATACTCCAGCCTACACGTAATCAATTAATTTCAATAATTAATTGTAACATGGATCCAATCACTATTCAATTTCTCTGTTATTCACTTCCGTTTGCAATTATCTCCCCAATTTAATTTCTGTTATCTCTGGCACAAAAGCTAACGTGTGACTCTAGACTTTAGACGAAACATTACATTCTTAGTTCAGATAAACTGCTAAATATTGTTGATTCGAGGATAACACATAATTGAATCGAGGTCCGCCAAAAATAATGTTTGCTTACAAGAAACGACTTCGCGCGATCGTTCCCGAAGCCAGTTGCAAATTCCAATGAATGACGTAATCGTGGAAAATCGATACCGACGACGAAGACCTCATCGGGCGATTAATTATTATTTCGTTCAAGTCTGAGAGCAGTAAATCGAGTCGAACCACATCCATGGCCAACTGCTTGTTTCCAAGTATTCGTGAATTAATTGCTGCTTCTCGCTTCGACCTTTTCTGTTCGAAATCTAACGATCCTTTCATTGCGTTTCCCGTCGGCTTTCATTAATAGGAAGACCTCGTTACGTTGGAATTTCCGAGCCGCGTGCTCTTTGCGCTTTAGAACCGTCGATCGTAAACATCTTTTAGAGGTTTCGTCGGAAATTGCTCGACTAATGTCAAAGGTTCGAGAAGTACGAGCCTCGCCGGCTTTCCACCGGAATTTATTGAAAGAAATGGATCTCGCGAGTCCGTCTGCCCTTCTGGCCGCGACACATTAAATTACAGTTATCTCAGTTGTTCTGTACCACCGCCCACTCGCATACAATTTCGAACTTTCAACATTCGTAATCGAATAATTCGCTCGCCTCGACAATCGGCCTGAATCAAACACGAGTTTCAATGTTAAGATACGAAATGTTATAATAGTTCACTGAAAATAATTCGTGGAATTATGTACAAGGATAATTCTGTTCAGATCTCTGATAAAATTGCAGTTGATGCAATTCTGCAATCAGTCTATGCAATTTTCTTGTAAAGATGAAAATAAATGAGAAAATGATTTTTCTACTATTGCAATGCTAGTAGGAGGTCGTGATATACAGGACTACGTGTTTACTACTTCCTACTGACCTCAGACACTCTGGCGCTTCGTCGAGACTGCATTTTAAGCGCAGCTCCATTTATCTTAATGTTTTATTAATCTAACTGTATCGATTCCCATGGAACAATTTCAGAACAAGCAAAAAGCAAAAGATTTTATTAATAAAAATCTATTAAATTTATATATATATATTTTTTAATCTTAGATCAACTTTTGCAGTTTAGTTGCATTTAGAATATTTTGAATTTCACATTGAATCCATACACACTGTGAAATGGTAAGCACGAAGTGAATCAATTTGCAAGCTTAATACGATTTCATTAAAATAATATTGACGATACTTGATGATATAAAAATATGTTGTAAAATGTGTGAATTGTCTTGTTATTTCTAAATTGCATTGACTTTCAGAGCACCGTTTCTAAAGAACGAATCACCAAAAGATTTTACTACGAAAGCTGTATTAGCTTTGTGTGTATCTTAATCTTAGATGAATCTATGCAGTATAGTATTATTTCGAACTGCACATTAAATTCGTTTATACACAGTTTAGAATATCAAGCACGAACGGAATCAGTTTGCAAGCTGAACACAGTTTCACTAAAATAATATCGATGATATTTGACGATATAAAAAAAGTAAAAATATATGAAACGGGAAACGCGAGCCGAGTCAATTTGCAAGCATAAAATATACAGTTTCACTAGAATAATATTGATGTTATAAAAATATATCGGAAAACGTGAAGATACGATGAATTGCGCGTACCTGATTCACCTCTGATAGATTTCCGCGGGCCGGGGATTGAAGCTTCACAACAAGTATTACAGAAGAGCGGAAGGACTGCTATAAATACGGCTGATTCGCGAGCGTCACAGAGAATGAACGTTCGTGTACCGGAAACGCGATGCTTGTCATGAAACGTAGTGATAACCACAGGAAGGAGCAGTGCGTGTTCTCCGTCGTTCTAGAAAAATACCGAAAACTCACCGAATTCATGGCGATTTTTGTAAACGTCGCCGAGATATTATTTCGGGTATAGTAAAACGCCGTACGAATATTTACCACGCGTCTTTATCAAGTTTATCACCGAAGTTTATTCCGAGCATGGAAAACGTCGGCGGTGGAATTCTTTAAGTAGTTCGCACACGTGAAAATATTCTATAACAAAGGAGGACGAGTTTACGTGACAAAAGAGTCCGATTGCGAAAACGACAAGGCTGAACGGCGACGTAGCTGACGTGAGCATCCACGGGACACGCGTTCAATTTTCGGAAAAAAATGTATCGAGCCGCTACGACGCAGCTTCGTTAGGAGGAATTGCGAGTGGAACTCGGAATACGCGAAAAACCGTGAGCCATGGCGTTCCTCAAGTTTAAGCTTCCTTCGACGATGCTCGTCAGCGGTGTCGTCACACGCCCATCGTTAATTAAAACCGGCACGATTTCCCCGAGCGAAACCAAAATTCCGATTGGGAAAAGAATACACGTAATTGAATACAAAGAAGGTTAGATCTTCATTCTTTCCCGAAATATTTTCGCTATTAAGCTATTCACAATAGACCGATCGAGCTATCGACAGGAAACGTGATGTTTTAATTCCCTTTTGAATCGTAGAACGGGACAAAGCTTCGTTGTTATTTGGTTGCAACACATCAAATGCCCTCTGGCAAATGATTTTCCATAAAAAATAGTTCGATTCGTCTCTTTGTTCTAATTAGAATAGTTCGCGTGCGACTCAATAAATAGCTTAACTATTTCTCAGTTAATGTTACGGGATTGCAACATATGAGACGCACTCTGAGAAATGATTTCTCATAAAATGTGCTCCGATTCTTCTTTTTATTTTATCGGAATAGTTCCTGTATGACCTGAATCAAAACGTAGATCAATTCTTCTCTTTATTTTACTTGCTTTCAAAACGCTATCGTATTCCTTGAGTATCTGTTCTACATATGATCTGACGAGTTAACGATTGTGCAGCCAGTGCAACGAACAAGAGCATCAACAGAGGTTTGCTATCGCAGTTCCTTTCGGCGTCGAACGACTCTTGGATGCTGTCCAAGGAACTTCGTCCTTCGTTCGCCCGCGACTCCCAGCATCCGTTAACCAAATTTTATTTCTCCGTCTATTCGTCGCACGCCATGCGGTCGCGTAAAGATTTGTTAGCCGGGTTCAAGTCTGTTTCCGAGAACGTTCGCAATTACTCTTCATGCAAGGAGCCCCGCGACGACAAAGCGAAACCGTGCGAGCTCGCCGAGAAGGAGAAGGAACAAGAATTACCAAAAGACTGCTCCTCGCAGCTTGACGAGAAACAGGAACTGTGTCAGCAGTCTGAGACGCCGTGTCCACCTCCTACCTATCCCGAAGATCCCGGCGTGTGTAAACCAACTCCTTGCCCGGACATACGAGACTACTGTACCACCCCAGGTAACGTTCCGTAATCCCATTGATTCATGGATCGCTATATAAGATTATTCTCGAGCTATCTCGTTCAATCATCGTGCAAGTATGATAACGTGGAAATTCCAGCTGTTGTTAAAATATTTCCTCGCCCGATTAGAAACCGAAGAATCGGGTGATAACGCTCCACGTGTTATCACCAATAATCAATAATTCTAACGAGTTCTTGAGACAACACTTTTTCCTTTATCTATTGTGCCGTCACGCAACGTGTTGAGTAACGGTGTGCCATTATCTTAAAAGCACTGCGCTACTTGTAAAAGCTGGCTCGCGCGGTGACAGGCGGGTGTCGAGGGTTGCATTTTAATCTTTAACGATCGGTGGCGATGCGAGTAACGTATTTATACAGTAACGTTCTCGCGTGCGATAATCTAACGGTACAATTACGTGGTCGTAGTGTCGTATAAAGAAACATTTTGGAAATTGGTGACTCTACTTTCATTGCCCGTGGTTATACTCGTGTCAGGATTCGTTTACACCAGAGAATTGGAAAACAGGAAGCAACCCAGGCCCGAGTTCGTCGACGTTCCTTACTTGCGAAGAATCGTCAAGGTATTCCTCCTCCATCGATTTTAAAGATATAAGTGATCGCATACAGGGATTAGATACGGCAATTAGTTGTATTAATAACTCAAGTATAACAGGAATCGTATGATTAAAGCGCAACAAATTAAATGCACTTCTTAAGAATGTATAGGCTATATACTTAAACGATGCTAGCATGTTGAATTTGTTATTATAGATTCCTATTACTA